CTACTACTACTACTACTACTACTACTACTACTACTACTACTACTACTACTACTACTACTACTACTACAATCATTACACTTAGTCGAGGCAATTATCATCCGCTTGTTGAAGCCAGAATTGTGTGCTCACAAAATCCACTAGCTCAGGCACTTAAAATTCCCTGGCCGAAGGCGGACAAATCAATTATGAACGCTTACGCAACCCGTTCTTATCGGAACTAGAGAACTGGAGAGGAAACTGGGTCACATAGGTCCCGTTAGTCTCCCGTACTGGGGGCCCCGAGATCATGATCACCGGAGGTTAGAGACACTGAGCGATATGGCTGGGGGTCGCAAGCAGTGGCGCTTATGCATCTACTTATTATTCTTGTAACATTAGTCTTTATAAACTCGTTATCTTCTGCTTGAGTCTTCTGTCAACATTGTATGCTTCATTCCGCTCTTTTATCCAAATGAGCGACCAAAAGACAGAAACCGAAACCGGTGCACAAAACTGTGCATGGTTAATGATCGTAAAAACTGAAAGTGAACCCAACCCGTTTGCTATAATTAGTTAACCTCGACTGTTTGACACAACAACAACACAACACAACACCTTCCCGTTATTTTCTTGCATAAATATGATTTTACTGGCTTGAGAAGGAACCCATGTTCACCTACGATTCGTGTTCTGATTACATCTATGGGCTTATTTTGTGATTATTGTTTCTATCCTACTGTCATGTGAACTGAGTATAGAATTGGAGGATAGCATTTTATACTCGATCATATCTAAGGACAAAATCATACAGTTACGAATGTTACGGTGAAATCGTTTGCCATACGGAATAGACAAGGAACACTTTGTAAATCAAAATAGCATCACATCACTGTTCTTCCACTTTGACAATCTGTTCATCCATTCGTCATCATATTCTCGTTTTATTCCCGCAGTAACTTGAAGGTCACCATCAATACGGTGCACCCGAATAATCTTGTCGTGTGTGCCAATGTGGTTCACGTGGCACTGCAAATCGATCCCCCGATGCTTGAATTGAATACGGACGGGATCGGTTACGGTTGGGTAGCCGAAACCGGAGTACGAGGTCACGTGACACTGCGCAATTCGCACCACGCGGCAGCTCGATTCGTGTTGGAACCGTGCGATCATGACACCGCGTTCACGATCCGACCAACGAGAGGTGAGCTCCTTGTGGTGTTGGGGCAGTCAAGACATTAGTTTTCACGCTGCTAGGCTTTGCAGACATTATGGATGTTGTGAATCATCTCTATAGGACACGTTGTTTACACTTGGACGTCATGGGTTCATAACCTGATGCCCAGACTAACCGCACTGAGTCCCAGCTCTTTCTTCCTCGAGTGAAAAACTCACGAGGTAGCCTTGAAGTAAAATTAAACAAAAAGATGAATAAAATACTACTGATTTAGTTGTTCATGAAACTGAAAACATGCTAAGATAAATGACAATTTTACAGTTGACATCTGCCTTGATTGGTTAGTTTTACCTCATCAAGGCTTTCAGTCCATTCTGAATAGTCAAAATTTATTTTCCTCTATCGCAGTGACTTACAAACGGTTTACCGGACATACCGCGTGGTTCTACTTAATAAAATGGCTGTCACGCATACGGCTGGTGTTGTGTGGTCGATTATTGATCATCGTTGGGTCAGTTCTGTGAAACACAACTGCTCCGTACCTGGAACTCTGTTTTCACAATCCGGTCACAACGGTTGTGGATTACATCTTGTGTGATGTAACTGTGTTTCATNGGGCGATACCCGTCATTCATATATATATATATGTATATATATATATACACCGTTCATCTGTACATGTTCCTGTACCATTCTCTCGGACTCCCTCTGACAACTCCGCGCGCTTCACTCAGGCCTGGTCGAACCGTTTCATTCGTTGACATGTGAAGTTGTCTACTATCCCGGATTGTCAGTGACAAAGGAACAACATTTCGAATTGTTAGTACACGGAGTTGATGCTCCACGAGATATGGAACCGAAAAAACGTCGCGAAAGTCAACGACCCAAGGAACCGGAACAGTTAATCTGCACGGTTCGAATGCCCCCGTGCAAATTGATTTTTTCCGTGAGGCGATTAACTCTCGGTCCAATCGCCTTTCGACTACCTTGTCGCAAATCTGTCCGGTTGAGTAATTTGGGTCATGGACCGGCATTCTATCGAATAGATACCCAAGAGAATTTGAAGGAATGTGTGG